TACCACAAAGTATGATTCCCTTGTTGTATAAAGAGAAGACAAGGATCGGCCAGCATTCTTGATGTCATGTTGGGTCATTAAGCACTTCCAATCCTCTTTAGGTAGACAGGAACTGCAGAGATGTCCTTCGTCCTCTCATGTGTCTATAAATGTGAAAAAGGACTCCGGGCAGGAACGACCATGGTGGCGGCGTCGGCTGGAACAAGAGTAAATGAATAAGCAGCGTAAGGCTTGTGAATGGAACCTGTGGAAACAGAGCGCGTTCTTATTAAAAGATGAACCATCTGTAGGAGAGTACACGAGACCAACAATGGAATGCTTATTTAAAAAAAACGGAAATGGTAGTGGAGAAATAGGAATGTTGAAAGTAGAAGGTCACAATGAAAGCAATCGAGTTCACTAAAAATCGAAATTAAAATAAAAGGAAGCAGTCTGAAATAGCTTAAAACCCTCGAAAGTAAGTAAGGATCTGTAAATACAAGGTGTGCAGTGCAAAAAAAAATTGAACAGTATGACAAAGAGCATTTTAAAGGTGCCTAGGTTCGCAACCAGCAAAAGACCTTGTCGCGAGGGAGACGTCCACAAAAAGTGCACTCGGTGTCGAAAAAGCTCAAGGACGTCAAAATTATATCTATACGGTATATTGCAGTGGTACTCTCGCAAGCGACAATGACGCTATCGTACAGCTTTTTCTCGCTTACTATCAATCACTTTTTTTTCACTTCGAAAAGCCAATGTACACGGTTTTAGGGATGAGTTTCTTCAGCGCGTGCCACGGATTTGCGACGACAAGAAAATCTTTTAGAAGAAATAATAACGGAAAGCGAAGTGCAACGTGCCATTGGTCATTTATTTCTGGAAAGTCATTGGGACCTTGTACCCTAATCGCGGCGCGGTATAAGTTGTTTAATAGATAATTGTCCCCAGTTGTCGGCTGAGTTGTTCAATTAGGCGTACGAACGGAAAACTCTGTCGCCTTCCTTTAGCAAAGCGCATACAATACTGATTTTTAAAGCGAGTTAAGTGAGAACACTGAAACTGGTGACATCGTACCCGTATCGCTGACCAATGTACACTACGACATTTTCGTAAAGGTTCTCAACGAGACTTCAAGGGGCCATTAAAAAAATTGTTGCAGAGCACCGAACGTGTGGAATCAAAAGCAGAAATATATGCGGTGCGGACTAGAATGCTGTGACGAAGAGTTACTTGGAGTCGCTGTGTTTCAGACAGGCCTAGAAAAAGCTTTTTGATTGTGTTGTTCACGATACTTTTTGTTGTTATCTAGGATCACATTATTGTTGTTTCCATTTTAACCTCCTCGGCCCCAATTGCAACTCAAACAACGGTACCCAATTGGGTACCGTGTTTTAAAGGCTGAATATCACGACATTTAGATATCCGAGTGTCCAAATTTTTAATGCGAAGCATTTCTTGGTAAACTTGGGTAACTTTGAACGTATCTATTTGTCTATCTATCTATCTTGCTGCTGACGTTTTAGTGCTCTCGTGGTCACCCCTTTAACACGGCATAAACCGAAAGTAATGACTTGATTGATATCTGGGGTTCAACGTTTACAAATCACCATATGATTATGAGAGACGCCGAAGTGGAGGGCTCCGGAACTTTCGACCACCTGGGGTCCTTTAACGTGCACCCAAATCTGAGCACACGAGTCTACAACATTTCCGCCTCCATCACAAATGCAACCTCTGAAGCCGGGATTAGATCCCGCGACCTGCAGATCAGCAGCCGAGTGCCTTACCCACTAGGCCACCACGGTGAGGTGAACCGAAATTAGCATGGGGGAGTAAGATGGTTTGATGAAGATGACGCGCTGGTCAAGACATGAATAATATCACAATCCATCGCGTACGTCATCAAGCACTTCCCAACATACAGTGGCATATACCCACAGGCGGGTGTGTGCCGAGGCTATGCGGGTATGTGTCACAGGTTATCGACAATAAGTATCTACCTAGAAACGACGAGAACACACACGGGGAATTTTAACGTGTGAGCGTCAAGAAATACAAACATCTGCAGCGTCGACGCGATGAATGCAAAAAATAAATGTCAGGGTATCAGCTGGCATCAAACTCAAGCGTTCTACGTGGCAATGAAGCATTTTACCACAGAGCTACGCCAGGTCTCGGAAGTACTTTTCAAATAGACGCTAATCTTCGTGAAAGGTCATTAGTGGTTGCAGTGCTGCCTAACCAAATTTATAAAAATTACATATGTACTACTTTTATACAGCGGTCACGTCGGGTTAACGTCAATCGTGGTTAGTTGCCATGCTGTGAAGTCGATTTATGTAGCAGTGTCCCGGGCCAGCGTCTCCGCGAGCATCAGCGCTTCATATCAGCCTCTGGTGTTGCTAATACACATGTTTTAGTTGACATCGTTGTGCTAGTGCAAACAGCTGGTTATATAAACATCTGCAACTCTTCTACGTATGTTTGTACGTGAAACATTTGTACATATATTTAGCGTCATTTCATGACGTGTCGCTCAATAAAAAAATTGCAACATGGTCACCTTTCCCCCGCATACTTCGCATAACGTCGATTCCAGGTACGGGGGAACTGCTAAATTGTTTTCCAGCCAAAATAAGCATGAGTGGCTTTCACTAAGCCCAGAAAAGTGGCGCCGTGTGTCAAGTCTCGTCAACACCAATCCAAATGAGACTGATGGCACTGTTTGTCCATCTTTGTGTTTATATTTGTTATGAATGTGCGCAATCATTACTTTGAACATTGTCTAAGCCAGACAATATATGTTAAAAAAAACGCCACAGTACCTCGGTGGTACAGCATCAGACGCGTTATTTGGAGGTCGCACGTTCTAATCTTGCCGGTCACAAGTTAGCATATTGTTCACTTTCCTTTCTTCACCTTTACTTTAAAACTGCCTTTGTTAATCTCCACTATACTTCTCTTGCCATCAGTGTCGGTTAGTTCTCATTAATATTACGTCTCTCGAAAGGAACTAGTCTTTAATCTACACTTCTTTCCTAAATGTCTTCATGACTCACTCATTGCCAGAGCTTGTGCCAGTAGAAATGACCTTGCCCTATGACATCACTTACAGAACAGGTATTATTTTGTTTTTTCAGCAATCGCTTTCTTTAAATTATGCACTGTTCATCGACTGTTTCTTTCGTTATTTCTTGTTGTTAAACTTCTGTTGTGTATTCCTCGCTGTTTATATTTTTTAATTCTGCTATGACTTTACGCTCGTCACTTTGTACTTCTACGCTTTTTTTTTCTCTTTCTGCATTACTGTGTTCTTTCTGTATCCTGACTCTCTTCTGTAATGCCTTCGGGCCCTGAGGGTGTGATAAATATTTTATTATTAAACACAAAATATGTGATCGCCCACGGCATATTATGAATATATAAATGATTGCTTTTCTAAAATGAGGCATGTTCATCAGCGATTTCTGTAAGACTTTTGGTATCGTAACTGAACAATCTACGCACACATTCAAAGTCAATGAGATCGATTCTGAAAGCTCCACTTGTACGTTAAAAGACATTTGTCAGCCATTACGAAGTGTCATCTCTATAAATGTTCTAACCGGTAAAATACTGAGCATACGTTATCCTATAGTCCAAGTAGTGTAAAGTTAAAAATGAAAATATTTTCGAGATCAGTGGAATATATACGCGCCGCAATGGCCAGAGCGACCGCATTAGATATATGTACACAGCTGCATGATATGACACGTGAAGCGATCCACGAGTATTTATTAATTTGAAGAAATTTTTGCAGCCGCTATTAGAACTAAAAAATCAAATCTTGCTGTGGAGTTCTCAACAAAGGGCAGACTCTTCTGGCCAGGTCAGTCCGAGAGCTGCAGTTTTCATGATTCGCTGCGCCTAATTATTCGTTGCAGCTGCGGCGTGTGCGCTAGGGTGTCGATGCTCGATCGGCGATCTTTGTAATTCACGCCGACCGTCGGTGCGCACTCTTGCCCCGCTTACGCCCCCTTTTACGTCGCAGCCTCCTCGTGCCTGCAGCTGCGGAGCGCGTGGCACCATCCTGTAGCGCTGCGTTGGTGGCGTCATCGCCTTTCTTCACTTCATTATCCTGCAGCACGGCCTCCGTGACTTGGCCTAGTTTGACAGGCACATCACCTGTCCCGTGCTTGTTGCCGAGCGTGCCATTGTTAACTTCGGCACGAGCGCTCGCGTTCGGGTCGGGGATCGAAGGAAAACCAACCAGACCTCCTGCCATGGCCCAGCTTCGGTCGAGGCGAAGCGCGGGCTCCGTCAGTCGGCGCATGGCGGTCTCCCCGTCGGCCATTTCGCGTTGACCTCGGCGGGCTCTGACGACCGTTACCAGGACGCCCGTGGCGCAGCCGAGGGTGCCGCACATGAGCACTAGCGACAGCAGGATGAGCAGGCTGATGCGCCGGCGTTTACGTCTGCGCTCGTCGTAGCCGGGTGTGGCGAAGTAGTACCTAGTGGGCTCCAAGATGCCTCCTGGGCTCGGCGCGATTCGCCACACAGGGAGTGGAAGCGGCGCTGACGGAGGGCCCACGGGAGGGCCCACGGGAGGGTCCACGGGAGGGTCCACTGGAGGGCCCACTAGAGGGCCCACTGGAGGGCCCACTGGAGGGCCCACTGGAGGGCCCACTGGAGGGCCCATTGGAGGGCCCATTGGAGGGCCCATTGGAGGGCCCATAGGAGGACCCACTGGAGGGCCCACTGGAGGGCCCACAGGAGGGCCCATAGGAGGGCCCACTGGAGGACCCACTGGAGGGCCCATTGGAGGACCCATCCGAGGGCCCATCGACACGACAGGCGCCATTCCTGGGGGGGCTTGAAATGCCATTCAGAACTGGAGTCAGATTTTATGATGATGATAGTTTTATGATGAGAGTCGGGTCAATTATACAGACTGTATCTATATTATTCTTTTTTAAGAGCCAAAATATGTTCAAGCATAAATTTTATTGTAACGTTAATTGTGAAGTATTTCAATTTTAGCTTGCCTCTCGCGTCGCTTCTCTTCTTCTTCTCCTCGACAGATGTATCGTACTTGGTACAGAGGATTGGCTAAAAAATGCTGCGGTAGATTTCTTTCATTAGGTCCTACAAACTTATGAATACGCACTGTGAATCTTTAGCCGTGAAGGTGAATCTTCCTAGATATTTAGGGGCGAAGATCCCTATGGTCGATTCTTGTCCCACTGTCGTCATAACCAGCTGACAGCAATGACACTAATGACAACGAAGATGACAATCATAATGATCACGAGCCACAAGTCAAGGTCAACATAGACAACGACATGGTTTTGCAGTATATGACGTCTCAATATGTTCGACCAAGGTTTCACACACCTCTAGAGTTTTTTTTTACAGTCTCTTCTCGACCCACTGTCTGCGAAAATTAGAGAGGTTCTGCCAATTTGTAGCTCGACAAGTTCTCTTCAAATATACTTTGATGACATTTTCTCTGATAGTGCTACACACCGGCCGAGTAATGTGTTAAGAGCTACTTTACAGGACTACCTGCTAGAAATGCAAGCACAATGTCATCATTGCGACGGGCGTTTCACAGCGAGATGAAAAGAGTGGCATCGGTATATTCTGCCCTGTTCTAGACTGGTTCTTTTCCCTTGGAATCCCAGATTTCACACCTATCTTTATTGCAGAATTTTTAGCCGTAGTATTGGCCCTTCGAAAACTGCCAGCATCAATGATTCCGCCGTAATAATAACAGACTCCTTGTCGGTCTGCAGTGCGCTCACGGCATCCGGTAATTCGAAAGCATTAGGCGAATGCAGCTCCTTAGTACCGAATCACTCAACTCAGGTGTGATTAGTATGAGTGCCGGGGCATACAGGCATAACTCTAAATGAAACAGCTGAATGCACTAGCGAAAGTGGCATTAGACGGACCAGCTATCAATATTACCCCTACAACAGCTTTCATAGTAGCTTCTAGATTTCGGAGGCAAATGATGATGCGAGAATTTTCTACACCATCTTTAAAAAGTTCTCTGGATTTCAATCATCTAATGACACCCTGGAAGTTTTCCTCATGTCATAACTGATGCCTGGAGGTTTCATTAACTCGATTACGCTGCCGTATTCCTCAATTGAATTTCTATTTGTTTAGAGAAGGACTGACTCCCTTTCCACTTTGTTCTTATTGTGAAAAAGAGGAAAAAAGAGCACTTCTTGATCTCTTGCAGAATGTTTTCCAAATTAAGAAAGGTATCACTAGAAATACCGTTACGAATCCTGTGCTTAGCTTTGACAACGTCAAATTCACTATTCCTAGGTCAACATAGCCTAGGCCACAGCACACAGCATCGTGAAAGTGTGTGCGACCATGCAAGATATCATTGTAAGGTCTAGAGATTTACTTATTAACCTCTATACCGAAAGGTTCTCAGTTAACCCATGTAGGCTATATATATATATATATATATATATATATATATATATATATATATATATATATATATAATTTTTCTTTGACATCAATATGAATTGCTCATTCAGTACGAACTAGTTTATCTAAATTTTTCTCAAAATATTTTACAAAAAAATGAAAATTTCTGGTAATGTTATTTTAGCCAGTATATATTTAAATTCGCTTTTTTTTCTTAAGCTACCCGATTCTTGGCCGATCACCCAGAGTGGGTGAGAGTCACATGTTTTGGATCTACATCTACATGATCGACGACGCATTTCGTAAGAATAGAAAGACTCAACAACTTCCAGGGAAACTGATGAGTACTGTGAGGGGTTTAACGTCCAAAAACTACCATACGATTATGAGAGACGCTGTAGTGGAGGGCTCCGGAAACTTCGACCAACTGGGGTTCTTCAACGTGTGCCCAAGTCTGAGCACACGGGCCTACAGCATATCCACCTCCATCAAAAATGCAGCCACTGCAGCCGGGATTCGATCCCGCAACCTGTGGGTCCGCAGCCGAGTACCTTATAGTCGCTAGATAACTGTGGTGGGGCGCGCCAGGGAATCGCGTACAGGTATCTTCTTTGAGAACTTCAGTCTAGTTCTTATCAGTGTTGCGGAGTTGCCACTCAGGAATTGGAATGAATCCGGGATCATTCCACTTTTTTGCTACCCCGGATAGAATGGGTATGGAATCGCATCAAAGCTTGCAGGAATGACATGGGAATAGAATTGAGCTCATTTTCACCGGAATGCAAAGGAAATAGAATTACGTCGATTTCCTGAAGTATAGCGCATTTTTGTCGACTTGCTGTTTTTCAAACTTTGAACATTAGTAAGTCAGACCCTCTAATGAAACAATAAAATAGTAGTTTATAAGGGCTAGGCTGAATAAAACTATGGTACATTATCAACGCACCTAGTATAATTTTGTCTATATATATATATATATATATATATATATATATATATATATATATATATATATATATATATATATATATATATATATATATATATATTGTTGCTCCGCAGTTTTTCGCTATTCTTCCCCTAACCAAGGCTCATTTCATGGTATCCGTATTGAGGAACTATGCGGTGGTGGCATACCCACCTTACACCTTGTGTATTTTTCCCCTTGGTGGCGCCTCAGCCGCCTGCTGTCTCCCCATGGTTCACTTTGTATCTGATTATAGGGCCATCGGCGACTTGGACGCATATGCGAAAAAGTGCTTCTCTAAGTTGTGATGCGTATTGACGCCGGTGCGATGCATGTGTTTACTGCAAGCTTTCCGATACGAACTTGCGTGCAGTCTCAACATATTTTAAATGCGAACCATTTATAGAACTTGGGTGACCTTCAGCGTATCTATCTATCTATCTATCTATCTATCTATCTATCTATCTATTTATCTATCTATCTATCTATCTATCTATCTGCCTGGCTGCCTGTCTGTCTGTCTATCTATTTATCTATCTATCTATATATCTATCTATATATCTATCTATATATCTATCTGTCTGTCTGTCTGTCTGTCTGTCTGTCTGTATGTCTGTCTGTCTGTCTGTCTGTCTGTCTGTCTGTCTGTCTGTCTAGCCACCTATGACTTTCAGCTCTCCTTACCGTTTCGATAATCATATCGGATACCAAAATTGGTACGGCATAACATGACTGTACGACGAGCATAAGTGACTAGTCATAGCACAAAAATCAAGACGTGTATGTTATGAAGACTTTGATTTACGTTTCATGGTCTTGCGGCTCTTGCAGTGATTTTGTTCACATGACATATTGCAAAACTGGTATGATATGACATGACTGCATGGCGAACCTAAGTAAGAGACCTTAATGTGGAAATCAGACATCCATGTCTTGTAAGTCATGACTACACGCCACGCTCATGGTGAGCTTGCAATCAATTCACAAGCTTCACATGTACCAACTTTTGCATTACGGGACGTGTGTGGAAAGCGAAAGTATATGACTGGTGCAAACATGATGATCATGATATGCGTATCATGTAAAAACATGACAACATGCCACGCTCACAATGTGCTCGTGGCCATTTCGCTAGCTCCACATCAAGGGCGATCAAGGGCGATCCTAACAAGGGCGATCGGTGCCATCGGATTGCCGAGGCAGTAACTTGCAAAGGTGCCCACCTGTGGCACCCCTTGTCACGCTCCCGCGCTGCCATTGGCTCTGGCCGCCAGACCATCGCGGTTGCCGCGCGGCTACATTCAGCACGTTGGATGCACGCGTGGCGTGCGAATCGTCGCCGGGTGCTGTTGGAACCTGTTGGTACGTCTGTCGGATGCTGCTGTTGGCACAACCAGCCGTACGGCAAATCACATCTGAACTCGCACCATGTGTCTCCCGCCTGCACTGGCACGACTGACTGAGAAAACGTATGGCCGGGTTCGTACATATCAAGTGCGCGTAGAAAAAGTTCTGGCACGGACAGCAGGTTGTAGTCGTGGGGTTATCAAGGTGCATCCCGATCACGCTATCGACTATATCATTAGCCACTTGAGGTATGACACGGGCAACTATTCTTGCTGAACGCTGACTTGGAAAGACGGACATGCTATTGCTAAGGTTTATTACGGTGTCACCCCCAACGAGGCTCGCATTCGACTATAATATCACAAAAGTGTACGAGTACAAGCCGTACATCGCAGCCTGCTATATTTGCCATGGCTTGGTACACATTGCCAAGTACTACCCTTCAGACGAAGTTTGTAAATGGTGTGGACGAAAACATCTTCACAATACGGAATGCGATGAAGAGCTATACTGCGTTGCCTGTCAGAAGCAGGGCGACATGTCACTAAATTCAGCCTGTTCAAGTCGGGCACCGAAAGAATTTCAGAATTTCAGGCATGATGCAGAGGTGCCACAAAAGGCAGTCAGGTGGTCAGAAAAAGCCCAAGCAGGCATTCTCAAGCAACCTGTCCTACTAGATGAACATGACAAACAAATAAAAGAACTAAAAAAGAAGATCAACACTTGAGAAATATTCTACAAGAAGCCCGTAGCAACGACATATAGAACCCCAAATGCCATTTCAGGAAGGTGATCAACCTACACCAATGGCTAAACCACAACGCTGGCGATGGAAGGGTCGCGCCGGGCGTTCTTGGAGTAAGAAAGTAACGGCTAATTCTAAAATGCCACCATACACCGGAGCTGTGCCGTTCCAACAGAGTAAGACGCCGTCAGCGTCCCAGCCCGTGACAGCTCGAGGTTCGGCATATGCGCAAATGTTGAGCATCTTACGACAAGAAAAGTACAACGGGACTCAGCGTTTAGAAAAAAATCTCCGGGAAAAATTTCAGGCTCCTCCCACGTTTCACCGTGCGTGGCTTAGCCGTGTCCGG